GTGAGGGGGGAGACCTGGTATGGCCAGCCCGAGGAACCGGAGGGTGGTCATAGCCCAGGGCTCTCTGTAAGCCACCCCCTTGATCCGGCCGATGAGCAGTCCGCGGAGGAGTTCCCAAGCAGCGTTCGCGTACTTGGGGATCACATACAGCGGCGAGAAGTAGTTCTTGTTGGGTTCCTCCTCCAATATCTGAGAGAGAGGGAGAGAGAGAGGTGAGGTGAGGGAGAAGAGAGGAGGATAGATGCGTGGTAAGGAGAGGTGGCAGATGTTCACCGTTCCCCTGTACCAGGCGTCGTAGTAGAGGCAGGCTCCGAAGTGCTTGAACAGGAGGGTAGAGTCGTCGTAGGGCAGGCGAGGCACCATGTCATTGCAGTAGACGAACCGTTGGTACCTTGGTGGAGAGCCGTCCAGGTGCTTGCTGAGGAATGCCGCCAAGTTCTCGTCCCCTACCCTGGGTTGTCCGAAGGTGTACACACCCTCCAACCTCTGCAGCATCTCCTCCTCCTCGTGCAGCGACAGCACCGCCGGGAAGAGCACTGCCAGCGCGCCGCCAAGGCTGTGCCCGGTGACCAAGAACTTGGCCTCCGGGTTCTGTCGTAGCCCCGCCTTCAACTCCTCCCTTATCGCGTAGTACGCGAATGGCGGGTGGCCCTCCGCTTGATTGACCTCCTTCGGCCAACCGCCGGCTTTCTGCAGGCCGAGCGCCTTCATGAAGCCGCCGTGGACCTTCCCAACCCCGGGGATGTCGTACCACGAGATGTCCATGTCAACGCTCCACTGGGCCGTGTTGAAGACCTCCGTTCCCCGGAACGCCACCACCACGAGCTCCGGCCGCCGCCTCTTGTCGCAGAACATGAACGCCCGCGTCGTCAACTGGTTCTCGTAGTCTGTAGAATGTCGAAAGCTTCAGATTTACTTCAAAATAACGGCGCATTGAACCACCGAATCCCTCACGATCTCACCGTTCCAGCAGTCAAAGAAGCCCAGGAACTCCATCTGCAAGAACATTTTACACAATGAAGGTCAGCTGCATGAGGGGAACTCCAAGGGAGACGACAACGGGAATGGCTGACTCACTCTCCAGAGGTCGATGACGGTGCGGCGGATGTGAGCCTCGTTCTCGTAGGCGAGCTTGGCGGCCATGATGGAGAGATTTGCGAGGTATCTGCCGTCTTCGGGGGAGATATCCGGGTCGAGCTCCACTCTGTCGTCGAAGAAGTCGACCGCCGATCGAAAGGAAGATGAATTCCTCCTTGGGATCACAGCTTGACCTTTGTACAAAAAACGGTAAGTAAATTACTACCTTGCACCAGCATCAAGTATTTGAATTTTTAAAAAATATTATTAATCAAATACATAATGCTGGTTTGCCTAATTAAAGTTAGTTTCAATCATTTGAAAACAAAAAATTATTCATAAGAAAATTCATATATGGTTGGACATTTATGGGTGACAGATCTACGAAGAGGAACCCATGAAGGAGAAGTGACTAAATTGGGAAAGATTCGTGGCATTTGGTGTGAAACTGGCGCCCGGAAACGTAGGGAAACAGTAAATATATTTTCTTCATTTTATGCCTGAAACTTCTTTCGTTGACGAACGCTGGGGGTCACCTCGCAGATAGTTCCAGATGAGCGCTCCCAGGCCGTGGTTCACTGAGAGCAGGTTCGCCATGAACTCAACCTTCGACCCAAACCAGACCACGGGCTCCTTCAATATCAGGAGCGTCTTCTGGGCAGTGACAGAGACGAAGATGAGCCACCGCCGGCTTATCTCCGCGATGCCTGTCCCCTCCGGGCAATCGACGGTGTTGTTTCGGTAGAGATCCCCATCGTACAGGAGGTAGAAGAGATCCCGCATCCCCGCTTTGTCTGGCCTTGTGACCACGTAGTCGCTGAAGTACCCTTCGCGCCCTGTCGCCATGAGAAGGAGAGGGAGAGGGAGAGCGAGAAGGGGGGGGGAGGGGAGAGAGAGAGAGAGAGAGCAAGAGAGAGAAAGAGAGAAGCCTTTCGAAGAAATAAACTCGCACAGTCTAGGTTGCTCAAGAGAGGGAAGAAGGCCCCATCTCCTTCTGTCATTTAACAGGATACGCATTTCTTCACTGAACGGGCTATGAGCTCAGACGTGTGCGAGAAAAGGTTATCCTTCTCCCTCATTGGATCTTGGATGGTGAATCCTTGCACGCTAGCGTTCGATCGATTTATCCTTCTGCCCGCGCGTGTCGTCTTGTTTCAAGGCAAAAGCTCTGTTCTTCGTTGTTCTATAAGCTTTTCCTCGCCACGGGGTTTGAAGAAGAACATTCCTCCTCTCTCTCTCTCTCTCTCTCTCTCTCTCTACATATGTATATACCCTCATTTGAAGGGTTGTCTATGGAGTCACGCCTTGCATGAGTAGAATAGTAAACCTGAGGACGGTTTCTTAATTTAAGTATTCTCCTATCTTATGCATGACACCTTCGCCTAGCACAAGCATGGTGATATCGTATTCTGCTTCGAATGCGGAAGCGGTAGTAGCTGGGAGAGAGAGAGAAGAGTTCACCGATGTACGTCGTGCGTGCATGGTGAGATATCTGAGTAGGAGATCGCCGGGAAGGGGATAGCCGACGGCGGCTTCATGACGGCACACCGCCAGGAGATGAGTGCCAGGTGGCCGAAGAAGGTCGAGCGCGCCGAGAGCCGCCCCCCAGCGATTTTAACGACACAGGAAGGAGATGAGTTAGATGCTGCAGCGGAGCTCAGAGGCAAAGCTCCTTGTCCTCGGGCACAGGCTGGGCGTTGCGCTGGCGGTGCTCTTCCCTCCAGGTACAATTGATTCGGCTGCTCGGAAGGTGTTATGCCCAGGCCGGCCGCCAACGCCCCTCACCTTCAAGCACCTCGGCACATGCCTCCACTGCGACCCTATCTCTCCTCCTTACCTCTTCCAATCTTCTCTCTAGCCTTCTTCCTCCCTCCCTCTCTCTCTCACTCCTTCCAGAAAACGGACGAGGATCTTATTGAATCTAAGATTGGCTGATGAAACTAGATTGATTCGAGCCCAGCCGACCCAGACTCAGTTTGGGTTTAGCAGTTCAGTGAATTACGAACTAATAGATATTGTTCATTTGGATAAAATGGGTGAATGGGTAGAACGAATGATTAGTGGCGTAGATAGAGGGTAGAATTGAGAAGTCGAGAAACACATGGAGAGGTAGGATGGTGGAGTGAAAAGAGCAGACAGTCATAAAGTAATGGGGCAATAGAATTGTAAGCGGCGGTACGATTGAATAGACTGAGGGATAGGAATAATCCATGGCATATAGTGGCTGAAGGATGGAGGACGATGCCGATGGACGGTTTAGAACGTCTGGTGGCGGTGGATAATGGTGGTAGAACACGAATGATGAGAATGGTGGATGGTAGTGGTAGATGTAAATAGGTAGTAGCCCTCACGACCTCTCCCTCATATAATGATGATAAATGATCATCGTGACATCAACCTCACAAAGCTGATAAACTTCCAAAATGATTTTCGTCTTCCCTACTTCTAGGATTACGAAAGTTATTTATAAACTCCCCTAATATATAACAAGAAGACATAAATATTTGAGAATAAATAAATCGTTGTTTAATGGAGTTAGGATGATGAGCTAACGATATAGATGGTGGCATGTTTCTTCTATCCCTGTCACCTTGAAGGATGTGTCCATTGGGTTTTGTCTGGTGATTCAAGTGAGCTTAGAACAGGATCAGATGATGATTGGTGATCCGTCTTCCACGAGACTCTCCGACAGAACCTATGGTGCACTACTCCCATCTCCAATCATCCTCAGCAAGAATGGCTTTCAGCATAGATATTAGTCAATAGATTCGTGATAACTATAGAACAAAGGGATGGAGTTTAACCTTATCAAACTAGTTCTCTATTAAAGGATACTTTATATGGTGCTCTTATGCTGATGTTGATTACTCGAATCTTACTTATCCCAAGTTAGATGACTACCATTACTAGTGTGCATGCGTGCGCATGCGTGCACGGGCGTGCATGTGCACTCGCAAGACATATTTTCAGTTCGATACTTACCTGATACTTTCCTTCCTCTCACTTCAGACTATTGAGGCACCTGCTAAGCTCCCTACACCATGATATATGTCTCTTTGGGAAGGTCTTGCTTCATTGTTTACCAAACTTCCTCATGACACATAATATCATTCTCAGACGTCCTATCTTCCACAACATTTTGATGGTCAATGGAGAAAGGATAAGTCTGAAAGAAAGGTCCAGATTATAGCTACAAGAATCTGCCGATATGAATATGAATCGAGATGAACACCACCAGATCCAATCTAGAGAGTAGACTTGCATTCCTATGATCCCATCTTCAGCCTTATTTCCTCAATCACCACCAGCATCTATGCTATTCGGCTGTTGGGACCGCCTCTTCACAACGACAAGAAGAATATGGAGCTGCTGATGTCTCTTACAACCATTAGCTGCAATATGGAGTCTCAACCAACATCATATTCATGATTGGTCTAGTTTTAATGAATCGACAATAAAGTTATATCGATTTCACCTAAAATACTAAAAATATGATACATTAATAATTGATACTTTTTATTTATGTACGTCATATTTTTATAACTTTGAAATGGGGCAGGTATGTCCGACCTACCCTCCATATCCAGTATTGAATGCCTCGTTTATGTATGCATTTCTACTCCATTATATATCCTATCAAAATCATATTATATACCCTTATCACCCATCATTCAAATATCAACATAAACTATGTCGGTCGTCTAAATATCTACGTTTCTAATTCATTATATATCCTCAGAAAATAATACTTTATGCTCATGTCACGCATTATTCAAATATCAACATAAAATACATCCATTGTCTGAATATCTACATGTTTTTTGCGCTTTATGTAGATACTCATATTTATAATTCAACCGGGATCGTTGACCACCCATCGTTGAGGTTTTCATAAGCAGTTTCTCCAAGGAACAGACTCCGACCTACCGGGGAGAAACGAATGGCGGAGCTCGCTCCTGAAGCAGGGACGTCTTCGTCAACCTCATGGAGTTGACGTAGTCGTGAGGAAGGTGAGGGGGGAGACCTGGTATGGCCAGCCCGAGGAACCGGAGGGTGGTCATAGCCCAGGGCTCTCTGTAAGCCACCCCCTTGATCCGGCCGATGAGCAGTCCGCGGAGGAGTTCCCAAGCAGCGTTCGCGTACTTGGGGATCACATACAGCGGCGAGAAGTAGTTCTTGTTGGGTTCCTCCTCCAATATCTGAGAGAGAGGGAGAGAGAGAGGTGAGGTGAGGGAGAAGAGAGGAGGATAGATGCGTGGTAAGGAGAGGTGGCAGATGTTCACCGTTCCCCTGTACCAGGCGTCGTAGTAGAGGCAGGCTCCGAAGTGCTTGAACAGGAGGGTAGAGTCGTCGTAGGGCAGGCGAGGCACCATGTCATTGCAGTAGACGAACCGTTGGTACCTTGGTGGAGAGCCGTCCAGGTGCTTGCTGAGGAATGCCGCCAAGTTCTCGTCCCCTACCCTGGGTTGTCCGAAGGTGTACACACCCTCCAACCTCTGCAGCATCTCCTCCTCCTCGTGCAGCGACAGCACCGCCGGGAAGAGCACTGCCAGCGCGCCGCCAAGGCTGTGCCCGGTGACCAAGAACTTGGCCTCCGGGTTCTGTCGTAGCCCCGCCTTCAACTCCTCCCTTATCGCGTAGTACGCGAATGGCGGGTGGCCCTCCGCTTGATTGACCTCCTTCGGCCAACCGCCGGCTTTCTGCAGGCCGAGCGCCTTCATGAAGCCGCCGTGGACCTTCCCAACCCCGGGGATGTCGTACCACGAGATGTCCATGTCAACGCTCCACTGGGCCGTGTTGAAGACCTCCGTTCCCCGGAACGCCACCACCACGAGCTCCGGCCGCCGCCTCTTGTCGCAGAACATGAACGCCCGCGTCGTCAACTGGTTCTCGTAGTCTGTAGAATGTCGAAAGCTTCAGATTTACTTCAAAATAACGGCGCATTGAACCACCGAATCCCTCACGATCTCACCGTTCCAGCAGTCAAAGAAGCCCAGGAACTCCATCTGCAAGAACATTTTACACAATGAAGGTCAGCTGCATGAGGGGAACTCCAAGGGAGACGACAACGGGAATGGCTGACTCACTCTCCAGAGGTCGATGACGGTGCGGCGGATGTGAGCCTCGTTCTCGTAGGCGAGCTTGGCGGCCATGATGGAGAGATTTGCGAGGTATCTGCCGTCTTCGGGGGAGATATCCGGGTCGAGCTCCACTCTGTCGTCGAAGAAGTCGACCGCCGATCGAAAGGAAGATGAATTCCTCCTTGGGATCACAACTTGACCTTTGTACAAAAAAAGGCGAGAAACATAGTACTTTGCACGTGTATCATCTAGTTAAATATATTATGTAGAAAGATTAAACATTTAATTGAAATATATTTAATTAAATGTTTAATCTTAGTCTGCCAAATTAAAGTCATTTTGATCATTTGAAAACAAAAAATTATTCATAAGAAAATTCATACGTACATGGATATTTATGGGTTGTTGACATATTAAGAGGGACCTATGAAGGAGAAGCGCCTAAATTGGGAAAGATTAGTGGGATTTTGCTGTGGACCTGCCGTCGGAAAACTTGTGGAAACAGTAAATTTATTTTCGTCGTTTTATGCCTGAAATTTCTTTCGTTGATGAACGGGAATCACCTCGCAGAGAGTTCCAGATGAACGTTCTGAAACCGTGGTTCAATGAGAGCAGGTTCGCCAGGAACTCAACCTTCGACCCGAGCCAGGCCACGGGCTCCTTCAGTAGCAGCAGCGTCTTCTGGCCGGCGAGGGAGACGAAGATGAGCCATCGGCGGCTTATCTCCGCGATGCCTGTCCCCTCGGGGCAATCGACGGAGCTGTTTCGGTAGAGATCCCCATCGTACAGGAGGTAGAAGAGATCCCGCATCCCCGCTTTGTCTGGCCTTGGGACCACGTAGTCGCTGAAGTATCCTTCGCGCCCTGTCGCCATGAGAGGGAGATGGAGAGAGATGCAAGGAGGGAGAGAGAGAAAGGGAGAAACAGAGAGAGGAATGGCGCAAAAGGCTTTTAAAGCAACAAAACGCACAGAGTTTCAGTTGACCGGAATTGTAAAGAAAGAGGAGATAGGGAGAAGAGAGAAGAGAGGAAAAAGGTTAGGTAAGGAGTCAGGAAAAGGAGGAAGAAAACTCGATATTCATGGTTTACAAAGGTGCAAGGTCCACAAGGATGAATTGGGAGTCCCTAAATAGGCAGTCAGTTTCCTTAAGAAACAGTCCAAATGACCCATTTGAAATGAACTTACTTACATGGTTTGTCTATTTCAGCGAGATGAGAGAAGAGAGGAAAAGGACTAGGGAAGGAGTCAGGATTCAGAAAAAAAGAGGAAGAAAAATCCTTGATAGTAGTGGTATACAGAGGTGCTGGGCCGCCAAGGATGAACAGGAATCCCTGAATAGGTTGTCGTTGTTAGTTTTCTTGAGAAAAGTCCAAATGAACTCATTTGAAATGGACATTTCAATGGGTTGTCCACCCACTCGAGAACTGGTCAACAAAGGGATTATTTTTGACGGAGTCATAGCACCGTGAGACCATTTCTACGTAGTGTCAGCTCTTCACGGATGTCCAGTCCTTCCGCGAGAATCGGTCGGGGCATTTTCTCACAGAGGACGTAAGGTCTCTGTTATCTCTCACCTCAAGTTAAAATGATTTAAGGCGTGTTAAAGGACTCTTTCAAAAACATTTTCTGATTGATCTGTTGTGGAAACAAAGGATACCAAGAACTGATTTGATGTCACGTGCTCACGAACAATTTCGATGTGATTTATTTGTTCATGGAAAACTAAGTTTGCAGCAAGATAAGTGACATATTTGTTCACGGATACCTAGATAAATGAACCATACTCGATTGAAGGTTTTATTAAACTTTAATACTCGATTGTTTGAAAATGTTTTAGTTATAAATCATATATTGGTTTTTTTAATAAATTAATTAGTTGAAAACCCCATTTGCAACTACCAACATTCATGTTGAGGCATCGAGACATGTCTCATTAAATAAAAGTAGATCAAACTTAATAGTTGATGTGACATAGTTGTTGTATATTAAATCACATAAGTTTCAAATTTATAAAATTAAAAATAATTTTTTTTAGATTTTTTAGAATTATTTATATTTAAATACATAAATTTTAAATTACTAAAGAGCTTCAAAAATAGTGTGAATCTTCTAGTGAATCACATGAATATATGATAATACTATGTAAAGTTTTAGAATTATTTTCAAAAAATATAATTTTGTGTGATTTTTAGACTAAAAGATCATATGTAAATCTTTTTTCAAACTTAGAGAAAAAATAAAATTTAGACATTGGTGTCAAGCAAATATCAATGTCTACTAGAACAACAATTCAAAAAAAAAAGGTTATGCCCAACTATTATTGAGAAAGTAATTTCATAAACTTTGATCGATGAAATCAAGGTCTATAAGCACCAAATAAATTGCAGTGAGTTAAACAAGAGTTTTGTAATTAAAATTCAAGTAAACTATCATTAAGTAAAAGATTAAATGAGTTTAAAAAATAAAAATAGAGTTTCAACATTATAATAGACATCGCTAAAATTTTAGGTATTCAAAAGATCTTTAAGTGATCTCCATGGCCTCAAAGGCTCTCTTTGAACATATATAATGTTGACAGTGAAGTGACTCTTATAGTTGTCACCTGGTGGAATGAAAATTGATAGAGATGTATCTAAAATAGAAAAAAGAATGCCATATTAAGACCACTTTGAAGAGATTGTAATGTCTCTTAGTAGATCCCTCTATTTTTTACTACATCTCATTTGTTGACCAACTTTGAATGTCATTTCCTCTCAAAGCTCTCATCTTTCTATTTGGACTCCTTGGTCAATCATTAATGAAGACATTTAGTTATTATTGATGAATATTACATCAATAATCAACCATCTCTAGAGGCTTTTTCAATTTAATATTTCACTATAGAAAAACTACGAAGTCAAAATAGAAGACAAAGATAAATTATGATGTTGGTGATCTTCAAACCTTCGTCGTTCACTTAGTTGTGTAAGTGAGGTTAAGCAAATTCCACTTATACCATTGAAATAGTAAAAACACGACTTTTATCTTCTCCTTACATAAGGACATTTCCAATATTATTTGGACCAATGAGAGTAGTCAACGATTGAGTCCCAAATTGGTTGTTTTGAGAAGTTTTAGATGTATATAATATTGGGCCATCTTATGTATTTGATATCTTCTCTTGAAAATAAAATGGCCAAGATCAGATGGGGAGAACTACCCCTATGCAACATGGACGAGACCATGCCTTGCCTCATGCACACGTTCTCTCTCAATAATGAGGAAGAAGAGTGGCACATATGCGCCAATAAGTCCTTAGTCACTAGAATCCAGGTCATTTTCTAATTAGATTGGGTCCACCTACTCAAGTGCAACACCCTTTGAGTCAATTGTCTGAGTGTTGATTGGTGAGTAGGTTCCCCTCTTTTTTAATATTTTTATTCTATTTTAATTTACTTTATTTTCACTTGAGAACATGAATACAAAAATCATATAAATCACTTATTTAATCATAAATTCACATTAATCACATCAAATCATGTTTTTATTTAAGGTAAGTATAAGGCTTTTATTATGAGTTAATATATAAAATATATCATTAAATAGTAGCTCATGAGAATATAAACTTATTAACAGCCATAACCGCCTACCTTTCAAGATCTTTTGATACTTAAGTAAAGTAGGTGAACTCACTTAAGAGATAATGAAATATGTCAGCAAAAGATGATAATGTGATAATAGTACTTGAGAAAGAATTGTTGAACTAATGACATAAATGTCTCCAAGAGAGTGGCTCTATATCTGTAGATAAATGAACTTAATTTGTGTGATAGATGTTGATCCTTCAAGAAGAGAGATAAGTTAAAAATAATATTACCTTCAACAAAACCAAATGGAGTAATTTTTAGTTGCATTACTAAAAATATAAATAGAGGATGGCAAGGCTATTATGGGTTCAACTAACTCTACATGTTAACTCATAAATGACCATTTGGTGTAAAAGATGATGTTATCATGGCACATGGAATAAGTTTTTACTAACATACAAACAGAAACATGAATTCATCAAAAAAAATATATCAAGGTATGCCAAGTCACATTACAAAGAGGGAGAGATAATGATAGCTAACATGCATGTTGATGTATTCAAGGAAATGACTTATCTCAAATTATTGAATGGGTTTATGCACAACATAAGAATGAAGGTAAAAATAACATATACACTAAAAATTTTACATAACTAAATAGTAAAGAGGATTTTAAATAAACATTCAATTGAAGATATGAATTTAAAAATAAGTGTAGGAAGATGATTGATCAAGTAAGCATTAATTTGGATGCTCAACTCAAGAAAGCATCACAATTCAAGAGATGATGCCATAGATTAATATACTTTTTAGTAAAAAAAAAGCTTTGATATTATGTTAAGAAAGATAGAAGAGATAGAGAGAAGAGGGATAATAAGAGAGAAAAGGCTTATTAATTTTGATGGTTTACAAAGGTGTTGAGTGTCTCCTTGCAAAGTCTTCAATGCCTCTAAGGATGAAATTTCTCCCCTTAAATAGGTTGTTCATTTCTTGACAAATGTGTTGATGCCCTTGATTTTAATGATTACTATCTATTACTGATAAATTATTATATAATATTGATGTTTATTTATGTGTCACTAAAATGTTTTTGGATTCTCAGAGCATTAAAAAAAGTACTTATCTCAAATTTAATTTATTACATGATTATGTAATGATAAATTTGAAGATAAAAATTATGAACAGAAAGACATCTAAAAGGAATGCCATGAGTGTAATGCTTTTAAGTTCCCTTTTTATCCATCAGATCAACCAACTTGAACAAATAATAGCTCAAGATCAACTTATTTCAATTCTAAGTATGAAACTAAGGCTAAACTCATTTCTCAAGCTTAAGAGCTATGAGGATAACCACCTTTCAAGGCACTTTGAAATCTACATTCATATGATTTGAATTGACACATGTATCAATATATTCACAAAAGTGAAATATTTTCATTTGAATTATATATGATGAAATAATCATATAATTGAAAGTGTTTATCAGTTATATATAATAGTAGACAGGTTCTCTAAACTATCATGTACATTGAATTAACAAGAGAATAATGCATATATCAAAGATTTAAAAGGAGAAAAAAATTGATGATATGGATTTAACGTGAATATCTAGTTGTTCTATATTGACCTATGAAGCTTTGACTTAAATTTGAATTCAAGTGGTCCTAAATAGAGAGTTTCGAAACTTTACACATCCAAGTTTGAGTCCACTTTATGCATCCAAGTTTCAAAGCTTTGACTTATGTAGCAATTCGAATCCACTTTAATTCAATGAAAACACAAGCAACTACTAGGTGTATTTAGCTTGAAAAGGACCAAGTCTCTATGAAGACAAACTCATGGTTTGAGTAAAAGATTCTACTAAAGTCAATATTTATTTCTAAGTAAAATAATAAATACAAAAGATAATTTTCTGTAATATTAAATAATTAAGTGAAGGGCAAACAAGTATAAAAATATTATGTTCTTGGTAAAATAGTGTTGAGAGGTCGTATCATAGTGTATGTGTTAACACATAATATGTTTTAGTGAGAATCCACTAAAAAAATGAAAAATAATTTAAACTACTAAAAACCATAATTCACACCTCCTCTAGGTGTTTCAACTAATTTTTTTAACAAAATGATCTACCAAGAATCATTTGAAATGGATGCCCTAAAATAGACTTTCCAACCCCATGTAAATCAGTTCACAAAGGGACTATCTTTCACAAAGTGATAGCTCTTAAAAGACCAACTCCTTTCATGAGAGTTGGTCCATAAAGAAGTTTCTTCTCACATTAGGGTCTCCTCTATAAAAAAGAAGTCA